TAAATTTCCTGCCAAACAAAAAAAGAAAAAAAAAAAAGAAATAAGAGTGAGAAAAAAAACAACAAACAAAAATGCATTCAAATAATTAAACAAATTTTGCATCTGCAAAAATGCGCTCAGTTTTGGTTCGATAACCTCCGCCACGGAATGCTTCTGAGATGCTTCACCGAAAAATTGATGTGGTTCAGGAGGTAAGCTAGTCTACAAACCAAGTTTGAAGCCTAAAGTCTCAGTTCTGTTTTCATCGATTTTTTTTTTTACCTGTTCACATCCACCTCCAACTTGTTTCAGTTTTATTTGGCATAAAAAGTTTAAAATTTGAGAACAGTTTTTTCAAAAAACAGACTTGTTGATAATTTTGTTGATCGAAGAAAAAGAAGACGGTGAAAGAGAAGAAGAAAAAGAAGCAGGAGAAGAAGAAGAAGAAGAAGAAGAAAGCAAAGAAGACGGAATAATTTGGATTTATTAGGAGAAGAAGGAAAAAAAAAGAGAACTGAATGTGTGTATATACTTTAATGTCATTTAAATCGTTTAGTGAAATATAAAAAACAAAGTAGGTCTTTTTTTCTCATGACTTTTTTTTCTTCTCATTATTTGTCTGTATTTATACTTTTTTTTCTACTTTTTAGACTTCGAAAAGTTATCCTAATTTTTTTTTCTTTCTTTGCAGTCATTTATTTTTATTTTTTTATTTTTTTTGTAAATTTTATTCAATCCTTTTGTACACACAAACACACACACAAAAAAAAAACTGAAATATACATAGTTGTTCTCTCAGAAAAATGTTAAAAATTTGAATATTAATTGAGGAACAAAGTGACTTTGCCAGAAAAAATTCAACAACGGCACACCGATATACACACTTTTCATTTATGACGGGTCCTTTTTCTTTTCTATATTTTTTTCTTTTATTAATTTTTTTTAATACTTTTTATTTTTTTCTGCTCATCTCACTCTATTTGAGTAGCAGAAAAGAGCAGTTAAAAAATAGATATAAAAAACAAAAGAATAACATCTTAATCGTCATTATTATTATTATTATTATTATTGCTATCACTACTGATATTATTGCTGGTATTATGACTAATATTAGGAATATTACAATCATTTAGAAATGCTATTTTGTTTGTTTATTAAAGACTATTTTTATGACAAATATTTTTTGCTCTTGTTTACTTTTTTTTCTTTCCTTCTTATTATCAGTTTTTTTTATTCCCAGGTATATACGTCAATAAGGATGATTTCCCTTTATTATTATTATTATTATTATTATTATTATTATTATATTATTATCAATGATATTATAATAACAGTAATACCAATAACTAATACCATTATTATTATTATTATTATTATTATTATTATTATTATATCAATGATATTATAATAACAGTAATACCAATAACTAATACCCTATTATTATTATTATTGTTCCTATTATTATCATTATACTGTTGTTATTGTTATCATTAATATTTCTTTTTCTAATTAAAGTTACGCATTTTACTTTCTTTGTTCGTTTGATTAGAGTTATATAATTTGAAAAGTGAAGAGACTTTTTCTTTGTATTCCCATATGACTGCTGTTATTACTGTATCGGTACTGTAACCCGAATAAGGATTATTGTCAGTATCCGTTGCGCTATCAAATTGTCACAAATGGTTTCACGTGTATCAGCAAAACTGATGGTAACTGTCTTCGTTCAACTGCTGCTATTCGTTCATTTTCAACAACTGTGCTTCTTTCAATTCGTATTTTCCGCCCTTTTTTTGCCTCATATTCCTTGGAAACAAAGAAATAATTGGAGAGAAGGAAGAAAAAAAAAAAAAGGATATCAATTTCCTTCTTATTGTATAAATTTCATTCCGTCTTAATTTTTTTCCTCCTGATAAGAAAAGGCATAATTGCAAATGAAGGAGAGAAAAACAACGTTATTGTTGTTGCAAATGGTTTTAGCATTATCTTCGCCATAGTCGTCGTCTTCGGTCGTCGTTGTCGTCGTTGTCATCATCATCAGTATCATCGTAATTATCATTATCAAAAAGCATTTACACAATACAATAATTACTGTTGCTGAAGTATATACGAGGGAAAATATTCTGTGACTTAGTCCATTAGAAGCTGTTTGTTAATGACAGTCAATTATTAGTATATAGTTTGGTTATAAATGCAATGTTCATACAGTATATACACTAAAAAAAATTCTTCGTTTTTCTTTCTCCTTGATTTCCTGTCTCTTTTTTTTTAAGTCAACGATTCAGTGTTTTTATGCTACAAAAGTTCTTTATTTTTGAATAATTACAGAATAAAACAAGAAATATTGCTGCTTCCACTAATATCTTTAAGTTACTGCCTGATAATCATTTCTGCTGCGCTGGCAACTGCTTATGCACGTATAGACGAATGAATACTTGCAAGAAGCTTCCTGTGTATATCAACTCATCAAATCCGAAAACGATAAATGGAAAAAAAAAAACAAACGTGATGCTTAAACGAATTAATAATATACTGATTCAAAAGAAAGGGTTTAAAAAATGCAAAAATTTTAGAAGAGACAAAAAGAAAACAGAAACAATTATCAAACGTTAGTAATACACTTAACAGCGAATGAGGATTCATCTCTTTTTTTATATTTTTGCTTTCATTTGCTCCTTCTTAATCTTTAATATCACTTCTCTTTAAAAAATTACTGCTATTTTCGTGACTGCAGACAAAAGTCTAAAATTTGAAGAGTCGCCCTCGTCAGCTTCTCTCCTATAGTGTCCTATGGGACCTTTCTACTACTCTCTCTACTGTAACCTCGACCAGTCCTTGAAGCTACAGCACAAATCTATAGCTACCTCGATACTTTACTTCTTGCTTAAGAACCGACTCGCCTTGAATAGATGCCGACTCTCGTGTTTAGGAAGATTACTACTCAGTCGTTGTATA